GGGGGGGGGGGGCTGAGAGCCTGAGCTCCCTATATAATGTTGATAGACTGTAAAAATCTTGTACCAAATAACGCAAATCACACACACATATAATAATGCCATTTTAATTAAAACATTAGTGTAAGGTAATACAACTAATTAAAACAGTGTTTTGAAAATCTTTTTTTTTACAAAATGTGTTCTCAGAATGCTACAAGTGCTGGGGGGGGGGGCATGCCCACGAGCCCCCCCCCCCCAATATTTCACAAAGTGTCCGCCAACCAATACATACAAAGAAATTTTATTAACTTTAACTCAGCTTATGAAGCAATTCTATAATCCGAAGATGTCCTGTGACTATTAATGCGCTATATATAACAAAATTCTTCTGTGAATATACATAAAATGTATACCGTATATAAACACAATTTTGACATCCCATATTTAATTTTAATTTTAATTTTACAAGCTTTGTCACAACAAGAATACATCATGACAAATAACATCATTACATATATAACATTACAAATATGACAGGATTAAGGCCTGGTCACACTACACAACGATAACGATACGATAAATTGTAAACACGCGATAATTGGCAAAAAAATTGTACGTGTTAGTGTCCACACAACAACGAATATGATAAAATTATCGTTAGACGATAACGATTTTAAAACCGCTCACCTGAGCGATTTTTTTTCAGTCGGACAATAACGATAAATTTTTGACCAATCAGCGCGCGTATACAAGTTATCGTATCGTTATCGTTGTGTAGTGTGACCCAGGCTTTACTGTGATCCCAAAACATAAACGTTCAAGTACAGTGTTACACAAACATACACACACATAGACACACATATATGTATATATAGATACAGATCTAATTTAAAAACAACATGCAATAGGTTTGGTTAGGTCCCGAGCCTGGTTACATTTTAGGCAAATTGTTTTCCACGACCGAGGATCGTCCACATTATAATTCCTATCTAATGCGGTATAGTAATATTTAATTAAGAGATTTTTAAAGGTTATTAGAGAGTTAGATTTATCGGTTATTGAACCTGATAATATGTTCCATAGTCTTGTTGCTCTTATCGTTTAAGTCTGTTGGTAGGTGGAGGTTTTACATTTCATAACTTCGGGAAGTTTATGGAGTTCGGATCCACCGATCTTGTCATTCGTGCGTTTTCATTATGTTTGGGAACAACTGCATCTGAGAGGCACATGATACCGCAATTTGCCTTTTAGAAAAATAACATGTCTAGATATTCATGCCATTAACTTAGAGGTAGAAAGACCACAGTGCCTTTTTTAACTATATATCTGGGGGGGGGCAATTGCCCCCCCCCCCAGGCAATTGCCCCCGAAGTGCGAAGCAGAGTTGCTCATGGTTGCTGTCAGAATTGCAGTTGATTTACTTGGCAATGAGATTATGTCTTTCCATAGCCTCCTCCACAGCCATCTTGTGTGTAATTCATATTGTTCTTCACCAAGTATTTATAGATTTCATGCAAACAATCAGATAAAATTCTAGCCATTCCAAGCCTTGCGACTATTTCCTAGCCCTCTCCTCCGCAGAGGCGTTGTGTTTTGTTTTGGGAGGTTTTAGTGCAAATTTTTTTTCTATAAAATATCAAGTTATATTAAGAGCTTCCCCTCCCCCCAATCGTCACAAAAACCATTCTCTCAGAAAGGCTAAAACCGTAGCGAAATTTTTTTGGGGGGGGAGGAGTACACGTTACATGCGCTCGAAGCTGAAACTGAATAAGTACGTCCCGACTAAGGAAAAAGACGATATACTGGAGAAACTTATTTGTGAAATGTCGTTAATGCAGTTGTAGGTATTGTTCCAAGAAGAATAGATTTAGTTTAGATTTTTAACTGTTAAATACATGTATGCATCATCATAGCATGAATAATTCTTCTCAGACTTATTCTGTGTCGTAAAAGCAATGCCATTTTGAGAATGCAGAAATGATGTCCCATAGAACCTAAAATGATTTAAATGCAACATTTCTGATCAAAATCACATTGGGATCCCCCCCACCCCCAGCATCACAGAGAGGAAATAAGGTGACACTGACCCCTACTCCTATTTTTCAAGGTGACTTAAATTTTCCAATTTATTTAATTCCGAGTAGAAATGTCTGGAAAAATTCATGTATTCGATGTACTTTATAATCTTAGGAATTCTGCTAGATTTCACCCCAAAAATGCATGAAATCGCAATTCAGGGACCCTAGATTTCAAAATTTTCCGGACCCCGGTCCCTTCTAGACGGTCTCACGCCTTCGGAGTGAGGTTCGCCGCCCCCCCTCCCACTCCGAAAAATTAAGGTTTGACTACACCGCTGGCTATAGCTGTACGATTATAGCTACAAAGAGTTGAAGTTATTGTTTAAAGTAAAATATAGCTGCAGTTAATAAATTAAAGTTTTACAAAATCTCTCTTCAGACTGGCGCGCTCGCCAAACCTCGACGGCTCTTATTTTTCGTTCTGCCAAATTTTCCTGTTTTGCCCCAGTGTGAAAATTCCTTAAAAAAGGCACTGAAAGACCAAGTCAATAAGCCATTGGGGGTAGCTGCTTTCACAAAGGAAAGGTACATCTAAAATGTATTTGGAAGCACGTCTTTGTACGTGTTCTAAGCGAGCGATGAGGTCGATGGATTGCGGAGACCAAACTTGTGTAGCATATCCCATTTGCGATCGAACAAGTGTTATATATAGCGTCCGACGGGCTTTACAGCTCTTGATTGTTCTTGTTGATCTGTTGATGGAACCCAACATTTTATTTGCTTTTGAGCATTGTTCCAATACCTGTTTGCGCCAGGTCAAATTGTTTGATATCCACACGCCGAGCACACGCTCATTTTCAACGTTTTCTAACATGCTATCTTGTAAGGTGTATGGATACTTGATCTGGCGATGTTTTCTGGTGACCCGCAGAGCTTTACATTTGGAGGTGTTTAAGTGAAGACCCATATCTGAAGAACTTGATTCAAAATTACTCAAGTCCTCCTGTAACGATGCAGCATCACCGATATTATGCATTTCTTTGAAGATTTTGGTGTCATCAGCGTATGTTGCAATGGATGAATTCGTCACAGAAGAAGGGAGATTATTTTCATATAAGAAAAGAACACCGGTCCGAGAATGGAGCCCTGATGTGTAACTCCTGGTTGCCAAATAGGGAGCCACAGGGGTTGCAACAGTACAAGCGTTATTCAAACTCAACAGGCGTTGATAAATTAACACACAAAACTTTATTTCAATACAATGATACAGTCACGAAACGTTTTTTGGTAGCAATTTGCCGCAAATATGGTAGCGATAGTTGATAGGTTAGCCTTTAGATCAGGTAGCGGTAGATTGTGTAGCGTAGATATTGTAGCAATATGTAGATAGCAATATGTAGATTCGAACTGAAACACGACAATAAAATAAAACTACTTAACGAAGTGATATACTTAACTTAAGCATGCAATAAACTAACGAATGTCAATGAATAACAAAACTAACTAAACATAAACAAATAAACAATCCAATACTGTAACTTACGTACTTTAGTTTACACCTGTATTCCAAATAGCTGGCTGTTGTAGATAGATAATTGAAGTAGAAATCCACTATATTTGAATAGGTTGCGTTCGCATGTTCTTTTGTACTACCGTCAATTCAATACAAAAGGGGTGTGACTTGGGGGACAAACATACAAGGCTGATATGCCACAAGGGCATTATGATCTACTAACTATCCTGTTTCAAACTAACATGAGGTACCTCTGATGTTACTTGACCAGGTAAAGATGTTGCACCGAGGATGGTTGTTTGTTGACGACGATCTTGTAGGTAGGAGCGGAACCAGTTGAGAATGTTGCCTCCAAAACCAAATTCACGGAGACGAAGAAGAAGAAGACGTTTATGGCTAACTTTGTGAAAAGCCTTTGACATATCTAAATAAATTACATCGATCTGTTTGCCACGATCTAGTTGTTTTCTTATCTTGTCAAAAACATCGATAAGGTGGTTCACACAGTTTTTCCCTGGAAGGAAACCATGTCAACAAGGATTTATTCGACAGAAAATATGATCTTTAATGATATTGAAGATACAGCGTTCCAGAACTTTCGAAACCAGAGATAGCTGAGATATAGGTCGATAATTTTCCGCAAATTCCTGGTCTCCTTTTTTATGTGCAGGAGCAACATTAGCGAGTTTCCAATGAAATGGTACCACGCCGATACGCAACGATTTGTTAAGCAATTGACATAGAGATGGAGGTATTTGAGACGCAGTTTCTGTTAGTAAACGAGCAGGGATCCCGTCTGGGCCATGAGCTTTGTCGTTATCAAGAGTTCTTAGTACATTAGCTACGTCGGCAGGTGTTAAAACAACATCCTCCAACAAGGAAATGTTATCATCGATCGTGGACGGGTCTATAGAAGTATCTGGATCATTGGTGAAGATGGATGTAAAATAATTATTAAAGAGAATTGCTATGTTCGCTGGTGTTTCTGAGTATTTCCTTGAATTTCCTCAACCCCCATTGAGACTTTCTTGGGAACATTGCAAGATTTAGTTTTTAGCTTGAAGAGCGACCAGAAACGCTTTGGGTTATTTCCGTGATCATCACAAATAGGGTTGATGTACTTTGAACGACTTTCACGCAGCATTTTTTTAATGGCAGTTCTGAGATGTTTGAATTTTTCTTTCAGGTTAGTAGATGTAGGAGCTTTCCTTAACTTCCGCCGTACAGAGTTTTTCTTTTTGATATTATGCATTATAGCACTGCTCATCCACGGGACGTAATAACGACTTCGTAATTTTGTAGATGGAATATGGTCCGATGCCGTCGCTAAGAAAGTATCTTTCCAATTGCGCCAATCTTCGTTAATATCACCATCGCTTGAAATTAACCCAGAGAGGTTTAAGGACTCGAGACATACACCGTCCTGTTAGGTTTTGGCAAGCGTTTGGGGTGAACAAAGAGGTCAAAACTGATTACACTGTGATCAGTAAAGATATCTGCTTCAGCAGGGGACAAAATTTCGCTAATTTTAACCAATTCCGGAATGTTTGTGATAACGAAATCGAGAACGTTATTTTCTCTAGTTGTGGTGTTGTTAAGTTGAACCATAAAATAGTCATTAAGTAGTTCAATAAAAGCATTCTCATAGAAACCTGTCGTTTGTTCTGGTGCGTTCCATGAAATTTGCGGAAGATCACCTGCGAGAACAATGTGTTGGTGACTTGAACAAATATCACCAAGAAAGTTGTTGAAACGTTCTATCCAAGCCTGATCTTTATTTGGAGGACGATAGCAGGAACCCAGTATTATTTTCATGTTTGCAGCTGTTATTATTTCAGCCAAGATGATTTCTAGGTCATAATTGTGTTTAATTTCATGCACAGATTTAAAGGAAGTGTTTTTACGCCTAACAGTACTCCACCACTGCGAGTTTCTCGATCATTCCTAAAAATAGAATAACCTGAGTGCAGAATTTCAAGATCGCAGATGTCTTTCTTTAGCCAAGTTTCATTCACAAAAATAATATCACTTTCCACGGAGTACACCAAATTCTGGACGAGTTCCATGTTACTGCGTTTACCTTCACTGTTGTTTGTTCTATGTAAGCTTGTTGGACTTCTTGCTTTAAGATTAAGACATTTTACTGTTCGATTGATAGTTGAAGAAGTACGGAGACCAGGGTTTGTCGCCTCATCACCAGCCAGCAAAATTAATAAAACAACGTGAGATGGTTTACGGTCAATTTGTAGATTTATTCCGCATTGATAGTTTAAAGGATAGTTGAATTTCCTTTGATTTAAATCTGGAGTAGCAGTCCAAACACAACACAGTTTGTCAGGTAAAATTGCAAGTTCGGAATGAATAACAATGCCATTTAGGGTTATTTCGACAGGAATGTACGATGGTTTCAGTCTAAAGCACAACCAGAGAATTGTCATAAGAAGCATAAAGCAGTACACGCCATTCTTTATCCAGTTGAAAATATTCCAAGTGTTTCCAATATCTATTCCATAAATGTTTGATACGCACGCAATTTTGTTCCAACGTTTAAACTTGTGCACCGTCGTCAGCATACTCGTGGCGTATTGACTAACGTATATAGAGTAACTGTCAATTATAAAATCAAATTTCGATAAAACAAATGAGAAAAGTCCACGAAAACAACACAGAAACCAACAAAAACTTTATACAAACTTCAGAATCCTTCGAACGAAAGTTTTACGGAACACTTGAAATGGTATTTTTTACAAATACATGCACGAGCTGACTGTACAATGAACGAGAAATTTTCAATACTGAACGAGGCGAGGCCAAGTGCAGTATTGAAAATTTCGAGTTCATTGTACAGTCGGCAAGTGCATGTACTTGTAAACAAAACACGAACTTAAAGTCTCTAACCCATTTAATATATTATCTGAGTTCACTGCTTGCATGCAATTATACTGTGTGCCTTTTGTAAGCAAACAAAAAAAAATTAAAACAAAGTAATTCCAGTTTGGAAGAGAACATTTATCAACACATTTTCATCATAAGTTTTTACCAATAGTTTTAAGTACATTGCAAAATAATTGCGTACTACTGTTTTTAAAACAATACAGCGAATACAGTGAAAAACCCGACTTGACTTTTTAAGCAGGAATTTTACACGCGACAAAATCGTGAAAAGTCACCAGTTTGCACCAGTTTGTTTGGCTTTTTATACTTTTACACACTGCATTATCTACAATTTGATTAATTTCGTCTTCACTGACTCGTGTAAACTTTGAACCGACAGCCTTGCGGGAAGCCATTTTCAATAATGCACTTTTTTATGCATTATTGTCAATAATGCACTCGCAGAATTTGTTGTTGCCAGGTAACAAAAACACACGTGATCGATTTTAACCAATGGTGTGCGTGTATTTTGTACAGTGAACGAAGATTATATATTAAAAGATAATATAGTATGGGATAGGTGAAGGGGGATATAAATTGCTTGCCTGGTGTAAGTGATGTTCTTGGCAATGACATTCAATTTGCAGAAATCAAGGTGGATGAAGAAGGGAGCACCCCCTCCAGGATATATAGTTATATGCTGCAAGTATTTATATTCCAATCTAAAACTGAATCTCTGCTGTTTATGCAGCCACTATTACTTTGGCTTTCTTTATTGAAAGCAATTATTCAATGTACATACTGCTATAAAGTGCTTTAAGAGGAATGTTTCCAACAGGGCGCTTATATATATTCATAATAATTCCTTCTATTGGTTTCATTCAACTAATTTATATTAACTAAAGTCACCAATGAAAATGTTAAATTGAGAAGTACATAAACATCAACACTTACAACTCGATATACACCTACAACGGCAACATGTGGAAGAATCATTACTTTCATAGTTTCATAATAGTATTCTCAATGCCATTAGTCAATGATTTTCTTGTCAAAAATTGCGAATCATTTCGTTTCCACTGCGTATTAATTATTAAATGATGAAATCCTTCAAATGCTTGCCAAAAATGCACTATCGACATTTGCCATATTCAGACTAGTAAAATGACGTTGTTCGTAAATTCACAAAAACCCAAAAAGTTACCTTCTTATACTTCCCGATAAATAGTTCCAAAAAACTTGAAAAGGTTTTCGCTGCTTCGCAAATGCTCCCACTTTCCAAAATCAAAGGTTTCTTTTTTATCTCTTTTTGCTAAACCAAAGCTGCTAGAACTGTAAGAACAAAATCGTCCATCTGTGAGTATTAACTTTGCTTTCTAAACGTGATTGAAAGCAAGTTTGACTTGAAATAGCTTTTCAATTTGGTATTAGGCAGCAAAATACCGAAATGTCGGTATATCGGTATTTTTAAATTGTCAATATCGCCAATACCGATATCTAAACCATACCGGTATACCGGATATATCCGGCATAACGATGCACTCTAGGGTGATCTGCCAGCTTTGGTGCCGAGTCGTGTCAGTCATGTGCGCCGCCTACCCATCAACTTTTAACTACAGCAAAGTCTTGCTTGGCTACTGTATTGCAATTGTTGTTAACAAACAGTTTACTTATCATCACGTTATTACTCAAATTACTCATTTTGTCTCAAATATTTTTTGCTTTATCATGAAAATAGCCCCCCCGGCATACCCTCTGGACAGGGCTAGGTGGGGGGGGGGGTATCCTGGTTCCAGAGGTTTAAAATAAACCTCTGGTTGAAAGCGGCAATTGATTCATCGAGCCGCGCCAATCAGTTTGAATTAGGGTCAGATACTGACTCTGTCTTCTGATTGGATGTTTGTATTGAAGCTCTCTGATTGGTTATAGATGCTTTATTTGAATCAGTCAGAGAGCTTTAGCACAATCATCCAATCAGGAGCCAGAGTCAGGATCTGACCCTAATTCAAACTGATTGGCGCGGCTCGATGAATCAATTGCCTCTTTCAGCCAGAGGTTTATTTCCCCTCTCCCCTTCGCAATAAAAATAATATAAATAAACCTCTGGAACCATGGTAGGTGGGGGTGCGTTAATTTGACTCATATTTAAAACAATTATAAAAATTTACCTTCAAAAATACGAACTTTTCGTGGCGAAATATCGAAATAAATATCCACAACTTTTCCAACTAACACTGTGAAAAATCATGATTGTGAATATTAATGAGTTGCAATGCAACATATATGGTTTCAAGATTATTTGATTGATTACAATTTTTTAAACTCACATACAACGACATTTTATTCAGCTGATTGACTACACTGAAAAAATACAGTTTAAATTGCAGCGAATTCAATTGTTCAAACTTCAAAGTTCGCTCCACTTGTACCCAGCTGTCACGGTGTCAGGAGCGGGGCGAGACATCGCAAGATATTATATTTTATACTAAATACGCGACAGTATTTTACACCTGATATCCGCGTTTTACCCGATCGGGTAAAACGCGGATATGCCTTTGAAAGAGCCGAAAAGTATATTTTACACCATATCCGCGTTTTACCCGATCGGGTAAAACGCGGATATACCTTTTAATGAGCCGAAAAGTATATTTTACACCATATCCGCGTTTTACCCGATCGGGTAAAACGCGGATATGCCTTTTAAAGAGCCGAAAAGCATATTTTACACCATATCCGCGTTTTACCCGATCGGATAAAACGCGAATATAATGTTTAAAACATATTTTAGAGAAAAATAGGTCATCCGTCCGTCCGTCCGTCCGTCCGTCCGTCCGTCGGTCCGTCCGTCCGTCTGTCCGTATCAGCGTTTTACCCTAACCCGACGCTTGTATCGTATGACCACAGAATAAAGATTAGTACCAGAAGGGCCACTCAGCGGTGCAATGTGTCGCCATTTTTTATGCAAAAATATGCAGTTGACTGGCCAGAAGGTGGGGCCTCCAGCCAATACAGCGCAATTATTGGCCAGACTATGCAATCGACTGGCTAGGAAGATGGCGGCCAGCGGGCCTTTCTGTGTGGATCTATATTGTGAGGTATGACCCTGCAAAGGCCAGAAATGGATTCGCAAGGTCAAATTGCACCTGAAAAGAAAAACAAGCTTGCGTTTCACTTCCGAGTAGCGGGCGGAGGTATGCAGTCTCTGAGTGCCCTCTAGTTTTCTCTGTTATCCGGTCGTGTATTTTGTAATTTTTTGCTGCAATGCGCTATTTTTGAAGGTCTTTTCAATACAATTACCGTTGAACGAGTTTTCAACGAAATTTATTATCGGTTTAAATATACCAAAAATTGTCGCAGAAAAATGGCAATTTCCGTACGGCCTACTTTTACGCAAACGTGAATTACAGTTGCAATTTTCTTGCTTAATTTTGTTTGTTATCTGAGCGGTATAGCATACAATATAGCGCCAATTTTAGGTATTTAACCGGATAACTGCGTTGAAAAGTCCTTCAAAACAGTACAATTTTAAGGATTCTTCAGTCGGGGTGGGGCAAAATTGCCAAAGGGCCCATTCTCTCCTTGTCCTCCCCCCAGGATAGTATACGATCTCCGAAGGTGTGAGCCGAGTACCGTAGGTTCGAGTTAGCTAGAGATGATTTCAAGATTTGCATGGGTTCCTGAAATAGCATTTCGTGCATTCTGAGGACACATTTAAAAAAAATGTTTTAATGGTGAAATTTGTAATAAATTGCATGCTAAAGATTCAAACACAACATAAGTTCAGTTAAGTATGCTCACCAACAAATTTAGTTCTTTAAACTTCTTTTCAATGTTAAAGTCATTTGATCAAACAAGTCCTAGGGACCTGGGCTTGGGGCAATATGCCAGTTTTTTCATTAGTGTAGGGCAGAGGAGTGCAGTGGGGCAAATGCCCCACGTCCACGGTATTAAAAATGCCTTGCTTCAAAAATAGCACATTACAGTCATGGCATAAAATTAGATTACAACACGACTGGATAACAGACTTAAAAGAGAAAATCATGACAGTGGCAAATGCAGTCGCGTTTGCGTAAAAGTAGGCCGTATATATACGGAAATTGTCATATCTTAACGGAAATTTTAGGTATATTTAAATTAAACCGATAACTGCATTGAAAAGCCCTTGAAAAACAGCACATTATGGTAGCATAAAATTGTATTACTATATGCACAGATAACAGAGATAATTAAGCACGAATGTTGCCATTGTAATTCGCGTTTGCGTAAAAGTAGGCTGTACTGAAATTGTTATATCTCAACGGGAATGTTACTTTTAGGACCGATATTTGCATTGAAAATCCTTTGAAAAACAGCACATTATAGTGGCATAAATTTGGATTACTACATAAACAGATAACAGAGAAAACATGAAAGCATGAAAGCATGAAAGTGGCAA